CCGAGAGAATATTCAGGTTTGATTTTCTGACGAGAATCGCAGCTATGAACAGAGCGCATAGTGCTCACGATCTCTAGAATGACTTGAGTCGAGCTATTTGCGGTCGTTCTCGAGCGTGTCGCCTAGGGTCCTTAGTAAGCGGTTGACAAGATATTGATTCTTGAATCTGACAAATGTCTTCCACGACGAGAGCTTTGCTATGATGGGTCGGCCAGGATCGTCACTGCTGAACATCTCGCGCCAAGGGAACAATGGTTTCTTCAAGAACCAACTCCTCCGCTCTTATTGCAAATGTCGGACATGTCGTGCAAGACGGGATTCGTTCGTCGCCGCATCTACTTGATAATTTGGTCGCTTCGCTGGTACAGGATAAGTGAGCTTCTTCGAAGGATGTGCAAAGAAACGCAAGATACTTCTGACCCTGAAACGGGAATGATGTCACGGGCCATACATGAAAGTGGATCTCTGTGGTATACATCGCCTTTGACGTGAGAAATAGCAAAGTGAAAACAGTTCGACAAATCCCACATCTTCGTGTGAGTTAATCGTGTGATATCACGAAGGTTCTCTGTATAGATCAATGCAGAATGTTGTTCACCCATACTAATCAGTACAGAATGCAGCATGATTGTTCCTACTTGGGAGTCTACACTAGTGATGAGACCGACATGTCTTTACCATATAAAGTGAGTGGCGCGAGTCAGTCACTTTGCGGAGAATTTCCACGATGACTTCAAATTCAAGTTTTCCATAGTTATCCTAAGCTCTACTTCAGCGTACCCAAAATTTTATATCTCAGGCTCAGAAGTTTTACTTCTGCACGAGTAGATTTTATACATATAGCCCCAAGGAGCTCTAGTGGTGTTATTCGTGTAGCCTTAGAAATTAAACTCTTTTTTTCAATTCAGTTGCAATTTATCAAGTATTTTTCACAAACGCAAGCGCAAACGCAAGCGTGCGTGCTGTGTTTAAACTCTCTCTAATACTGTAACGGGGTAACACGTACCCTTGTATGAAAGGGCGGGAACACAAGATGGTGTGACCGTACATAGATGTGGATGACACAATGGTGTCGCTAAACGTGGTAGGACTGCCAGTAGTAATGCATATTAATTAGGTTTTACTATATATAATAGGAAAACCTAAGGTTTTATATATTGGCGACTCTGTCGCAACTAATTTAATTAGATACAGTTTCAATTTTGAACGAAGGAGCCCTTTTACCTTGGTTAAGGTTATAAGTACTCTTGGAGGTAGCGGATTGCGATCCGCTACACTAGTATTGGTTCTTGTATAGAACGTAAGGTCGGTGACCTTAGCTTAGCTTCCTCGAAGCAAAGAGCTACGGCAGCCCCGCTGCACTCGGCAACACTCGTAGTCAATCTACGCCAGAGTCATTACGACTGATCCTTTGTGAGGATCTAGCAATACTCCTATTTGCCCCGGGCATGCAGGACAGACTTAATAAGCTGATGTCCTTGCTTGACCCTGAGGGAGAGGAGCACATTCTTTCGAAAGGTCCCGAGGTGATAAGTGCTCGCCTAAAGGCGTTCTCAGATTATGAAAATGCTCTGTTGGAGCACCTACGGCAGAAGCTACGAGCGTCGACTGCGAACATGACGCCCCTGTCAACGACGGATGACTCCGACCGACCCAGGCCGCTTATGGTGAGTATTAAGACCTTCGAGGGTAGGATGGAGGAAATCTCCTGCTCTGGTTGAGAAAGACTGAGATGGCTATGGCATCCGCCATACTCTGGAACGAGCAACAGCGCAGGGAGTGGGGACACTGGGCGACGCCGAGTGCGCTATCCCACTGGTCGCGATGAGACGTAAAATCTCTATAGAAAGGAGACGGCGAAGCCGTATGTTATCTACAAGATACAGGGCGTCGAGCCTAACTCAGGATGTGTCTATTGTAGATGAAAGCGCACAGCTATATAAACTCGTCAACGATATGACGGAAGAGAAAGACGGCAATGTCACCCTCGAGGCTATTTTCGCGGTGGAAGCTCTTCTTCAGCTGATGTTCATCGAAGTTAGTGGTGCCTTGAAGGCAGGCAATTTAGCTGAGGTGATCATAATAAGACCGAGCGAGGAGATAACTGGGTCGTCGCTTATCCTCTGGTAAATGCATTTCTTGACGTCGTCTACAAAGACCCGCCGTCGGTTCTACCTCCGGACCGAAGTATGCGTCATGAGATTGACCTGGCTCCGGGAACCAAATACTGCGTAGCACGCCAATGGACCCTGCCCTTGGAGCAGTGTGACGTCATTGACGCCTTTTTCTATGTGAACCACGATGCAGTAATGGTGCGTGAAAGCAAGTCTCCCCACTCGACACCCACGTTCTGTATCCGGAAGCCGAACGGCAAGCGGCATATCGTTCACGCTTACAATTAGCTAGACGCTGCTACCGTCCCGGCACAGATGCCGATGCCTGGAACGTTCTCCGGAACAATATGGTTGGCTGTTTAAAGTACAGTGCACTCGACTTGGTAGATGGATATTACCGATTGCTCATGAGAGCGAGTGATTTTCCGATGACAGCGGTGAGTACTCTGAGCGGCATGCTCTGGGAGTGGCTGGTGATGCCCCAAGGACTGGCAATCGCACCAGCAACATTTAATCGTCTTGTGACGCAATTGTTCAGACCCCACCAGGCGTATGCACAAACATACTTCGACAGCATCTTTGTCCACAATCGTGTGGGACACGGGAGGATAGATGAGAAACTCCTAATTGATTATTTGAGAGCAGTGCTCGAGTGCATCCGCACGAAAAGGCTGTCTGCATATGCAGAAATGCGCATTTTCGGCGCGAAATAAAATTTCTTTTTGGGGTGCTTTATTAGGACGCGTGGCCTGCGAGCGGATGCCGCTAAGGTCAAGGCAATTGGAGACTGGTCAAACCATAAGGGCTTGCGCAAGTGGCTTGGCCTCGCCAATTACTTGCACAAGTATAGCGCAAATTATGCGAAAATTACAAGACCATTGCCGAATTTCCTTAAGAAGAATACAGAATGGTATTGGGACACCGAGCATCGGGAGGCTTTTGACAGGGTCAAAGACAGCCTCGTTCATGCACCAATACTGGCGTTGCCAGACATCGATCGTTCTTTTAGTGTTGTCTGCGACGCTTCGGACTTTGCCATCGGCTGTGCACTGCTGGAGCAGACACCGAGGGGCAAGATCGGGTGATCGCACTCGAATCTCGCCAGCTTAAGGCTGTGGGGGAGACCTACCCAGTCCACGACAAGGCTGAAGTATGCACTTGTCAAGTTCATGGACACCTGCTTGGCTCAAAGCCGTTTGTGATCTTGACAGATCATGCGTCACTACGCACTGCGACTCAGTCGCCTCACCTCTTGCAGAGGATGGTCAGTTGGTTCGATTATTT